TGTGTTGAAGTAGCAAAGAAAACCCTATTCACCTTCTCTACGTACTGTGCCAGTTTAGAGCTTTCTGTCATATCCCTGCTTAGTTGTCACTTTTTCAGGCTATTCTGTTTTCTCTCTCTTTACTCAAGAATTATGTTATTCTTATGTTATTCTTATATCTGATGATACTGTCAGAAGATGATGTTGCCTTTCCCTGTATCCTTTCTAGCTTATCAGTAGTTTTTGAGAGGGTGAAAATATACAGTTTCTAGCTTCTCCAACAGATGAAACTTTCTTGAGTAACACTGAGGTCTTTTGTCTTTTTTCTCACAATCTTTTCCTCATATTTTACCACTTGCTTATGCCAATATTTTAACTTTTTTGTATATCATATACGTTTTTGCAGAAAGCTCCTTTAAAAAAATGCTCTCTCTGATGGCTCTAGAAGGAGCAGAATTTCAGTGACAGGCCATCTGTATGAGTGGATTCACCCTGAAACCAGGCGTACAGTTTGGTATGCAATCTTTCAGAGCTATTCAGAGTTGTCAACATACATATGCTTTCTCAGACTCAGTCCTGCCTATTGAAATAAGCTCAACCAGATTCAGATCTCATTTGTACTGAGTGATTCTAGGGAAGCTGATATGCAGATATGGTAAATAAAGGTTTTATATATGCTAAATTATCTGATTTTTGAATGTAGCCCATCATGGTAGCTTCCTCTGTAGCTCAGAGAACAAATATCATTTTGACTACAGCCTTGGGAAAGCCCATGTCATATTTTAATTTAGCCAGAAGTCATGTGTTCCACTGTAGGTAAACAATTTTCATTCAGATTCCCTCTTACCCATTTAATATAATTATGACTGACACCAATCATTTCTTATATTGCTGATTGTGATAGAGGCTTGTCAGAAGATCACATCATCTTTAAAACAAATGTCTCTATTTTTTCTTTGTTTTTTAATTTCTGTTGATAGCTGGAGGAGGTCATTATCCCATAGCAACATGCTATTTAGTTAACATTTCCTCTTAAGCCCTGCGGATAGTAATAGATTCAATTTTATAAGTGGAAAAAGTATCTTGTTTAATATTAGGTGGAAATTTGCTTTTATTGACTAAACATTGAAGGATAGGATGTTCTGATCTGGCAAAAACAGGTTATGTATTTTTACAGCCTGAAATGTTGGGGTGTCATAAACACTCAGTATGAAAGTAGTGTCATCTACTAATACTGATTAATACATGTGTAAAATTGATACATATTGCATTCATTAGGTCAGACTTTTTTACATCTTCAATTTAATTGCCTTTCATATGATGTTCTTCCTTGCTGCTCAGAGTCCTTTCCTTCATAGTTCTGTTCATTTTTCCAGATCATTACAAATTACACTAATTTATGGCTTACACAAGCCTTAAGACCAATGTACAGTGCATTTACTTGGTATCTGGTACTACATCTACTTTGTTTCATGGCGCAGTACTGGCAATATAGATATACTTACTGAAGTGTTGTACATGCAATTGTGGGTAATCATTTTGACAGACGGTTTATTACCTGATCAAAGGGGGAATGATTTCTATTATATTTGACTCACACTCCAGTTTTCATCTGGATTCACTTATTTCAAATATCTTACATGCAGGGCTGAGTTATTTGAGTTCAGCTGAGGTTAAGAAAGATGTGAGGGCTGGAAGATCTTAGTAAAATAGTTTAAAAGAAGAAAGAAAGAAGGAAACCCTCAAATGTACATTTAGAAAGTCCCAAGACTTTGTTGTCATCAGGTGAAATTCTTAATTTATAATGTAATTCTGTTGGGGGCACAGCAAGTGTGGGACTGGATTGCCCTGTTGGAGAGAAGTTATTTCCAATTTCTGCCGCTTTGCTTGGAGTGGAAATCCATTTTAAAGTTCCTGGGGTGGCAGGAATTGGCATGCAAATCTCTCAGATTACAGGTGTCTTGCAATAAATATATCAGTGGTTTACAATGTTGACTCATATGCAACTCTCAGGATCATTTCCAACCTCCACATGCCACTCTGGAAAAGTGGCACCTTACCTGTTTTCAGCAGATTGTGCAGGTAGTTTTCTCTATGTAAGCTGTGCAGTAACTTTTTCCTGTTTATTGAATTGCATCCTATTTTTGGTCTACTCTTTCAAGCTTATATTGTGCTTTGAGTCTTATCCTCTACTCCTCCTGTGGTATTTGCATTATTTTCAGTAATGTTTCCTTACCGACACTGTTTTGTTGCTGTGTTATGCGTTGTTGGACCCTTGCATTGCTGGTGCCTACAACCATACTCAGGGAACTGCCTGGTAGAGCCCCTCAATAAGCAACTCCTCTTCCCAGGGAACTATGGATAACTGCTGCTGATTATAGCTTTCAGACCACTTTTCCTCCTCAATAGTAGGAAACTGTAGTATTTTCCTACTAAGTAGTGTTTTTGTCTTGCTTATGGAAGTATGAAAGCAAGATCCCATAAACAAATGTCAAAATCTTTTCATTCCTAACAATAGCAATTAGAATTTGTTTGTTGTCAATATGAATAAGAACAGAACACAATCTTATCTTTTGCTCAGTCTGAATGCAACAAGAACTTGCGTTATGAAGAGAAAATCGGGCCTTTTGACAAAGATCACCTGGCAAAACAACTGGGCTTTTTTCAATATGCCTGCAGTGTGTGGATGAGGGGCAAGCAGCAGATGGCATGCACCTCAACTTCAGCAAGGCTTTTGGCACTTTTTGGCACTCTCTTTTTATTTCTGCCTGTATTGTGTAGTGAAATGTTACGGAGAAAGTTCTTCGAATTTTAAAATCACGTGAAACCTCTTTGAAATGCATGTGCCAGACAGAAGATAGCATTTTACTGCACACAAATGCTCAGTAAAAGTTGTCATGATTTCCTTTTCAAAGGTTTTGATCTGCTTGTTTGTTGCTAATTTAGTTCTCAACAGTGATCAGTCTTTTCCTGTAAGTTTGAATTCACTGTGGATGATACTGGTTGTGCAAGGTCATTGTCGTAACAGATGCGTCAGGTCTGATTACTGTTTGGTTAGAAACAGGCAAATAGGTGGCTGACTGTGTGTAGTTACAGGGGAAACCAATTTATTTTTGAGGTTGCAAATATCTGTTTCTACTAAAATTAAGTTATTAGGTTTCAGGTTCAGTCTGTTTTGCTTTATCTGTCATGTGAAATACCAAAAGTGGTCAGATTTAGTTTTTCAATAACTTTTCAGAGAGGAGAGGAGAGGAAAAAAAGAAAGATCTAATATTAGAGCTTCCCCTTTGGCTTGCTTTGTCTTAAAATGCCGGCTCTGTTTTCAGAATGGAAAGCAGATTTCTTAGCATTATATCTCATCTGAAATCTTAGGTTTTTGTAAACCCTGAAGAAAATGGCATGCAATACACTTGCCCTTTGCACAATTAAACCTTCCTTATTATATTTGCTTTTTAAAAAATGTTTTTACCATTCCACTTCTGAGGGCCAGAGAAAATTCTGAGTCATTCTCTCTGTTGGCTTTGGAGAAGGAATTTCACAGCCTAGAATTGCTTCCTGCTCACATAGTCCTCAGGTTTCAAAAAAGAAACTGAGTACAATGGATTTTTTTTTTCTCTTTCTGACCTATATTTTTCTATCATTCCACAGCATCAGTCTCTAGGCTGTGTGGTTTTGACAAAGTGTGAAACTGTGAAGGCCAATTTCAACAGAACAGTTATTTTTAGTGCTGTACAGCATCTGATGCTTTTAAGACACTTTAACACTAATTTGGTTAAATATTTGTTTTTACTGTCCTTTCTCATACCAATGAATAGATGTTTCCAGAAATGATCTTGCTATATGCCTCAATGCTTTAAGAATGATGCTATACAGTGATTTAGGGATTACATATCCCTAATGCTATGTAGGGATTTGGAGACTTGCCAGTGTCTCCAAATACAAGAAGGATCGGGTGGAGGATCCGGGAAACTACAGGCCTGTCAGCCTGACCTCGGTATTGGTGAAAGTTATGGATCACATCATCTTAAGGGTGATCACATGACATGTGTGCAACAACCAGGGTGCTACAGCATGTCCAGAAAAGGGCAATGAAGCTGCTGAATGGTCTGAAGCAGAGACCTTGCAAGGAGCGGCTGAGGGAGCTAGGGTCTGGAGAAGAGAAGGCTCAGAGGAGACCTTATCAATCTCTAAAACTAGCTGTAGTGAGACGGGAGTCGATCTCTTCTCCAGACTAACTACTGATAGGACAAGAGGAAAAGGTCTCAAGTTGTGCCAGGGGAGGTTCAGCTTAGACATTGGGAAGAATTTCTACACAGAAAGAGTGGTGAAGCATTGGAACAGGCTGCCCAGGGAAGAGGTGAGTCACCATCCATGGCAGGGTTCAAGAAATGTGTAGATGAGGCGCTTAGGGACATGGTTTAGTAGGCATGGTGTTGCAGAGTTTACAGTTGGACTCGATGATCTTAAAAGCCTTTTCCAACCATTACGACTCTAGGATTTATTCGTCTGCCATACCTGCAGCTTGGAGCAATGCAACTGCGTGTATATGGTGAAATATATGGGTATATGGTGATTCGTGAAATAATCACTATGTCAATCAAATATCAGTGTAGGGCTGATTTGATTAGGTAAATTGGATACTCTGTGAGGCCAAGGTGTTTTGCCAGAATCTGTTTCCTGATCGGTGAACTGAGATGAGCAGCCTTTTTTCTTCACTTGCAAGTTCTTGGTAGGATGAGAGCCTGAACTCAGGTCCTCATTTGGCTAACTTTGCTTCAGCTGTGTGTGAAATAGATCTCACTTCTCTATTTCTTATAGGTGGAATAAATGTGCCAATAGCAGTGTCGCCATTTCAGGAGTTGCTTCTTCTGCTATGAGTGACAGAAATAAAAGGAAATGTTTTCTTTGATGTATTAAATGTCTGTATAAGTAAATAAGTAGGTCAAGTTTGCTTCACACAGTTTATTCACATCAAGTTGTTTGCATGTGTCTTGACGTACTTTTTCTTGGTTTCTTTGCAGCTACTGGCTCACAAACAAGGTCCACATCAAGCGCCCCAGCACCGGTCTCCTCATGTATACGCTTGCCACTAGATTTTGTGATGAAATTCACCTGTATGGATTCTGGCCGTTCCCAAAAGATTTACATGGAAAACCAGTCAAATATCACTATTACGACGATCTAAAGTATCGGTACTTTTCGAATGCTAGCCCTCATAGGATGCCACTAGAGTTTAAGACTTTATATGTACTACATAACAGAGGAGCACTTAAACTAACAACAGGGAAATGTGTACAGCAATAAAGCTCATGTAAAATACAATAAGAAATCCAGAGTACGCACTTCATCATAAAGATGTTATGGAATGGCAATGGGATCCCAGTGAGGATATACTTCAAAACCCACTAAGCCATTGGAAAAGGGGATTTTTATTAGAAGTGCATAACCAGCTACTAGACCTGTAAAGTGCTATAAAACTAAGCTATCTTGACTGCAAGGGTTCAAGTAAGTGCCACTTTCACTAAGAACAAAGCTTGAATGTATACTCAGTAGTGTTTACAGGACCCAGCGATACATTCATCATGAATTAAAGAAGAAACAAATAGCCTGCTTATTGCTGACTTGCCAGAGCACTTATTGAAGAAACCCCTGGTGCATGGGGCTGTTTCTTGAGGAAATAGGCAGGGCTTTGCCAACAAAGATCGTGATGGGACTGTGCAGAGAAAGTGAAGTCCGTAGGATCGGACAGATCGAACAAATGCCTTCAGTCAGGGGACTGTTTCTGATCTTGTATTATAACCTCAGCTTTTGTTGCTGTTTTTCTAATTGTCGTGGGTCGGGTTTTGTTGCTCTTCGTATGAGAATCCTTCAAGGATTTTGGGGATATTATGAATAATTAAAAGTATGCATTTTAAGGAATTGTTGTAGGAGAAAAAAACTGGTAAGGGAGGGAGGGTGGAGGGAAACATCAAATGCTTTATCAATTGGTGTTGTGTTGTAACTTGCTGTCACACAACTCTCAACCTTCCAGGTTGGTTTTCTAGCTACAGCTGTTGGTACCCACTACTTGGAACCACTCAGAGATCAGTCGTTTTGAGCCTTTTTTAAAGAGGGGATATTCATTCTTATTCAGATCTAAGGACTCACTTAACAAAAAGGTGCCCTTATTTTTGGTACCAAAGATTATGCTTCTTTTCTATATTCATTTTTTCCTTTTCTTGAAGAAATAATGAACATTTCATATGATGTTTCTTTGACAATCTAGGAAACATTTTCTGGATCTTTTATTTACAGCGATTTATATTGTTTGAATTGTTTGCATGGAGCATCTCAAAGCCTCTTTACTGACTTTGCCCATAGAATTTTATTCTTCGGAAAGCATCTGCAGGAGCAAAGAGATTATCTCGTATGTTCAAATATATATGAATTTTATTCCTAATTGAAAGGAAAACAAGAAGTCTAGAAGAGCTCAGCTGTCATATTGGAACTTGTTAAAAGAAAAAAACCCTAGCCAATTAAATGGAAAATAAAGGAACTGTAGATCAAGCAGTTGTTTCAAAACTTAAATTTCTCATTATCGGATAATGCATCTCCCTAATGTACCTCTTTTGTATTGGCTTGATGTAGGGATGTGTAGTTGATTGAAATAACACAGAGCTGTATTATCCCACTTTGATTTTTCTGAGCAGTGGTCTTTTTCTTTATTTACCAGACCAACAATTCTTTTGCTCCCTGCTTTCAGAAAAGGGAATGATAAATTAGAGGAGGAAGGGAGGACAGAGTATCAGTAAAATGTACACAGGGTACAAAACCTGTGTGCATATAGTTTGTTTTAGCTCTATAGGAGCAAGGAGAGGAGGCCGCCCGCTTCCATTGCTTTCGTGGGAAGCTAGTAAGGAGGAGGGATGCGAGTACAATGTATGAGTATTTTCCCATAATGTTTTCAGCTTCAGGATAGATCCTCATCTCCAAATGTTTTACCCACTGTATATATCAAATCTTGAGCTAGCTTTGGAGAATTTCATGTATAGCACAAAATTCAAGAACTTTTAGCATTAAAAATAAACGCCACTTTTTACCTATGTTTCCTTTTAAGTTCACATATGCATGACTAGAGGTCTGTGATGATGCAACTTTAGTGGCCTAAATCGCTGACTTGCAGTTGGGTTTTCTAGAGGCTGGCGTGAAATAGAAAGTTCTTCTGCCATAGCCCCAAAACAGTAGCAGTGTCCTGTTCATCAGTCTCTCCATCCCAGGATAGTTTCCTTTGGCATGGGATGCAGTTCCAATCCAATGAGCAGTGAAACAAAGGCATCTCTAGGAACTCAATAGCAGTACAGACTGGAATGTATTTAATTTGTCGTTGATGAACAGAGTGTTTTATGTACACTGTGTAAGCTGGCAGCTTAAGACATGGCTGTTTGCTTGGTGAAAGGTGTGTGTGTTCCTATTCTTTCTGTTGGGGTTTTGCAACTGTTGTTTCCTTGACACATCTTGTATACCCTGATTGACTCTGTTGAGATAAAGAGTTCACAGCTGTCAATCTCACAGAAGCTCAGAGAAGTGCCTGCTTAGCTTTATCTGTTCCTCTGGGAATGTGCTGTCTTCTCTGCTCCACTGTCAGCTCATCAACAGAAAGGGAATTCATGTTGACTGCAAGATGAAGTGGCAGGTGGGGTTTTTTCTCTACCTCAGGGAAGGCTTTAATACACTGGTATGATTATGATAATTTCTCTGAGAGCAAAGTAAATGACAACACTATAATTCTTCTGGTAGTGAAAAAACCCAAACAAACAAAAAGGCAACCTTTTGAGGTCAGCAGATGGAGAATGCAGAAAAGCCCCTGTTGACAAGGGTCACGTCTGATTCTCTGGGTGACGTTTAGCTCACAGTCAAGAGGCACATTCCCACCCTAGCACTAAGCCTAGTCATATAGGGCAACAAGTTTTCTCAGACTTGGTTTTGCGGAGACCATGACAGCAGCACTGGGAGCTTCTCAAAACCGGCCCTTGCCCGTGGTTCCTGTGTGCTTCCACCTTGGAATTGCACACAGTCAGCACCCTTGGCAACATTCAGCCTCCCCTCAGGCTGGGACTTGGACCGATTTCCCCACTGAGAGCGGATGCCTCCTCCCTGACCCATGGCACTGCTCAAGTGTGCTTTAGATATTCATCCATCTCTATCTAACACTATCAGTGACTAATACAAAATGGAATAAAAAGAAGGGTCCCAACTATTGTCATGATATCTGCCTTGGTGAGGACTAACCGACGAATACCCTTCAACTGAGTGTTCTTTGGATTTATCCTCAAGAAAGTTATATCGATTGCCGGACGTGGTTCCTAGAAGTGTGCTAAAAGTGAGAACAGGGAGCTACAGCAAGACAGCAGATTGGATATTTTTCAAAATCTTTTGGCAGCTCTACGTTGAAAAATTTAATTTCATTCAGGTAAACGTATTGTAAACTGTTTATTAACATGTATGTTAATGTTTCTGTGGCAGAGACTCTCATATTTCATAAAAATTATAGGTAAATATATTTGATGGCTACATTTTCAGCTTTGGGACAGTTCCTTCTCCCTCAGCTCTGAGCCACTTTCCAGATTCAAGATCTACTAAACCTTTCAAGCTTTGGCTGGTTTACATGATCTGCTATGTAATAAGAAACCAGGCATATTTAATTAATAGTGTACCAGTCTTTTGTTAAAGAATAAAATCAACACATACTAGAGGTCAGCACCTTTTTTTTTTTTAATGACTGAAATTTGAAGAAAAGCCAATCAGTACATTTTTTTGTGTGTTTGATCTGGCAGTGCTGAGCACTCTCTACTCACAGTGACTTCACTGGGAGTGACATGTCCAGAACTTAGGTGGGCATCTAGATTGGCATTTTTCAGGATCTGACTCTTAAATTGCACATTATTATTTATTTTTAAGAGCACTGTTACTTAAAGTATTGATATGTATTCTGTCAGGATTGTCATGTTTGACACTGTTTAATATTATTTCATGTACAGCTTTTGGGTATTGTTTTATTATTTGTACAACTATGAAATAAACTTTTTTTTTCATTTTTTCTGCTATATTCTGTTCATATTCCTTTGTAACTCGAGTGGCATTGATTTTATTTTCACGTGATAAGATTTTTAAATTTTGTACTAGTATCTATAAGAAATTGCTTAAAGTTCTTAGAGGAGAGCAAACCGTAGACAATGAAGGCTAGAATCAACCTCTGTCTAAACTTCTGAATTAAAATGAAAAAAAATAGGCTGTAGAAATCATACACAATATTCCAAACTTTGAAGCCCATGCAATCAATAGCAAATTTCTAAACCTATACCAGCCATGCTACAAAAAAACAGTAAACAGCTCTGTTCTGTCTATAAAAAAACAGAGTATAATTGCTATTCCATAATTAATTTGATATTTTTATTATATAATTGCAGATTTAGCCTTCACACACTGTTGGAACTAGTATGCAATTTGAGAATGCCAGGAAAGTCAATATTTTGCTGAGCTCTATTCTTTCCCACCCTGCAGAAGTAAGATGCTGTATAATACTGGATCCTGTCTATAGTTCTCTAATATTAATTAGTTTATTTTAAATGGCTATCAGCTTTTTGTTGGGAAAGCGCTGTCTTTTAATTACTTCCTTCTGCAATATAATTCATGATCAGTAACAGTTCTTGAAAAATCCTTGCACTCTAAAGAAGACCCACTTACACTGGAAATCTTCAGCTGTGCTTTCTTTTGCAGCCTTGAACAATGGCCTTGCTAGTCTACCTCTTTTTTGTACTAAACGTCGGCTGTTTAGTCTGGCTCTCTTATCCTCTGTCTTTCATATCCCCAAACAAGTACTTATGTAAATAAAGGAGAATCTTTCACTATTCTCTTACTGCAAACTTTAAAGACATTTGACATGATACAAGTGCTTCTTCCAAGCCCCAAAAAACCCTAATTAACAATATGAAAGGGTATTCTTCAAAAGAGTCAAGCCAAAGGAAGCGTAATTTCCACTTCCAATTTAATTGTCTATTTGTGGCTCTCAGATGAGAATAGAGCGGGCCAAATACTTGGATATTTAGTTAACACAGTGGATACGATGTGATCCCAAAAGAAAAAAGAATTCTGGAGATTAAAATATATTTAAAGGAATTTGCAATGAGAAGCATAAAAACAGTAAAGATGCAACAAGAAGGGTCCTCTCTCAGAAAGAGCTTGGGGGGACTCTCAGTGCTCTTTGACTGTTTTCAAGCAAACAGGTGTATGTTCTTACTGGCTGGAATTTGCTTGTGCTTACACTGGGTTAAAGCTGAACAAATGCTATTTACATAATATCGGCTGAACCATATCCTTTGACTTAGTTGTTAAAGCAGCCAGAAAGTCTAATGATACGAAGATATGCCTATTGACTGCCAAACAGTCTCTTCACAATAATTATATATATTACTTTTTCCTAAAATTTGGTGTATGTACTTCTCACATTTTTTTTCGCTCATTTTAAAAACTAGAGGATTTGATTCTTATTTAGTGCAGAGTGTGTTTAAAGTAAACCCATAATTTAATCTTTTTTAAAAATGAGGAAAAATAAGTCTATAGGTACATAATACCTGTATATCATA